CTTGCAGTGCTAAGTTTTTCTTTTTTTCTCTTTAAAAACAAAAATAAATCCACCTTTTTTTCTTGATGTTTTTCAGTATAAATCTGTAGTAGTTACAAAAAAAGAAACACAGTGAATAAAATTACAACGACCCACTGCTTCTCAGCTTCTCTCACTGTTAGGACAACACACACAGCTCCTATCTTTTACGAGTAATGGGGAACATTTCAACCGTCCTGTTTCCTTCCACCTCTGCCTCCTCCCATCTTTTTCTCTCCTCCTCCTCCTCCTTTACCTCCTCTCTCTCCCTCTCTCAGCTGTCACTCACTCCAGAATTACTAGAGCTTCCATTTGGAACTTAAAAACTTTTCTTTTCTCTTTCAAAATGTGAACCCGAAATTGTATATTTTTGTGTCCACAAAGTGAATTCCACATCGTAATCATCGCTTGTTTATGAAAATTTTGATGAGGAAGAATTTCAAATGTATACACATAAAAACCAAAAACATTTGTTGCATGAGTCAAATCCTGAAAGGGATGGTCTCAACCTCTCACGTGAAGCTTCAGCTGTAGGTGAAGACCCCAGGTGGACGTCACGTCAACGTCTTGCTGTGTGGTAAAAAGTAAAGGCCAGACCATAAACTTCCCCCCCAACACTGTCCACAAACCCAAAACACACTCAACACACCCTCCCCCATGTCAAAATACACACACCTGAACCCACACTGTGTTAATTGGAACCACACGGGCAGCACGCGTGTGTCATATGTGAACTGGAGTTGAGTTTTGAGAAAGGGGAGGGGCAGAGGTTTGAGCGTCCACTCAGCGCACCGGTACAGAGACACACATAAATCTCCTGGCTGGCTCGGTCTGAAGATGGCACTCTTTCACTATCATCACTCAGGCGTTACCGTCTCAAATGCACATAATCAAACAAACAAACCTAAAATAGTGCAAGAACCAGGTCCACACCAGGTTCTCTCACCTCACCTTTATCTTAATTATGTATCTGTGAAAACAATACCTGCTGTGACCACCATGTCCTATAAAAGACTAAATATTATGACGCTTACAATATGAATATAGAAGAATTGGTAAATGAAAACTAAATAGCAGACAACGTAGCATAATCCTGGGAGACAAAACCAAGGTCACTTCTCTTTGAGTGGTGTACCCCAAGGCTCAGTAATAGGTCTTCAGACTATTTTTAGAACATGTCTGTGTTTTTACTAATTCTTACAGGT